TTATTAAAATAATAGTTTTGAATGTATTACAAAAACAAGCCATATTTATTTTAGATTCCGATAATAGTTAACAATATTCCAGGAATAAATGTTATCACTTTTTAGCAGAAAGAGTTCGGTTTAAAAATAAAATTTAATAAAAATGAATTATGATTTATGACTATATATTAGCCATATAGGTGAGATGCTTGTACATTTGTACATAAGACTATAATATGTCTATTATCACTAGATCTATGATTGTAAAATATATACATAATAATCGGGGCTTGCAAACGTTATGAATATAACGTTATATTTGAAAAATAACGGTTGAAATTTGTAAACGTATAATTATAACGGAAAGCGATAATCAAAAAGTATTAAATACCTCAAAACAAAGTTTAACGAATAACAAAATATATAATATATCATTAAACAAAAAAATGGTGCTCTGCTGTACAGTAGGTTACAAGTGGGTCACTGTATAATGGATGATATTAAATTTAAATTCAATGATATAATATCATTGCATAAGAAAAAGAGCGTAGGTATAAGATATATTATATAATTATCATTGGTATTAAAAAAAATTGACATATAATAGGTACCTATAATAAATTCCAAATTAATCAAATAAAAATATCCATTAGGTACTTACAAAGGCGTTAGACATCAACAACAAACCCTGATACTATCATAGATATATGATAGTGTACTTTAGAAGTTTCAAATACCCACGAATAATATTTTACAATCACAAGAAAATAACTAAAATAGTTATTCTAGGTATTTTATTATGTATTTTTGTCCAAATTTGAACTTAAAATTACTATATAAATTGTGCATATATATTTTTTAGATTTTTTGGTAACAAAATAAACTACTTACGTGGAATCTTGTTTTAAATTTTCAATCCTTAGAAATAACATTTGAACATTTTATAAATTTTTAACTGCAAAATAAATATTCAATTTTAAATTTGATACATTTTGTCAAAATTCGAACTTTATATGCTTATAAAAAAAATTGTGAATATGGATTTTTAATTTTTTTCATCTGCCTTTGAAACAATATACTAGGAGCCTTCTATTAAAATTTCAAGCTTTTGTACCCAACAAATAAAATTTTATTGATATTTATAGAAAAAAAACTAAAAAAAATGGAAACTGAAAATGTCCGTAAAGAGCTCAAAATAAGTCAAAATATTTTGAAAATTTCATCGTGTATAGAAAATGCTAATATAAACATTCAGTCAAAATTTCATGTACCTACGGGCATTTGTTTAAGAGTTGCGCCAAAAACCAAAATCGATTTTCTCAAAAACAGATTTAGCCTAAAAATTCCCATTTTTCCTTAATTTTCTTTTGTTTTTCACTGCGCTTTTGAAAACTACTGGGAAATTTTTACTTTTGACCCCCCAAAGCACCAACTAGATTCACTTTCCTATCAGAAAAGATACTGTTGAAGAAAATCCAAGCACTTTTACTGTCCTTAAAGGTGATGACAGACACAAAAAAAATTAAAAAATTAAAAAACACATCATTGTAAAATCAATACATTCATCGTTCCACTCAGAATTTAAAAAATAAAAAAACTGTATGTACTATATATGACAATACCATTCGTTCATTCCTATATTGGAATGTATATTTTATTTACAGGACAATATACATTTATCGTTACAAGACTGATGGAGATTACAATATTAAAACTATATAATAATTATAATAATAAGCATTCCGATCTTATAATATCTTTTGACGATCCGTACAAACACGGAATCGTGTTACAGAAGTGTGCTCTGAGACAGTGGCGCAATTAGAAAAAAATTTCGGGGGGTAGGGGTTACAATCAGTCTCTCCAGAGATTTCTCAGAGTCTGAGATTCACAATAACACATATTAATATTATCTACTTATTACTTAATATTTATTATTCATAACGTTTTCAATTTATATGTGAATATTATGTAGCCAGGTTAATTACTAGTTAGTATTTGTGTCCTAATTCTTCATTCGTCCATAAAAAATATAAATCGTAATGTAATATAATATTATTTAAATGCTAAACGAGTTGTACATAAATATACATTATATTATTATAATGTTATATTACAAAATACCGACGTCAATGGGCAATGAGAATTTATTATTGAAAATAAATAAATAATATACCTATATAATACTGCAATATGTATAATATAATATATGTAACAACGTGTATTGTGTATACATTTTATATTATATATTAGGGTGTTTCACCGTGTTTGTTCATATGTACATATGCATTGTACAATGCACCCAAGAGTCACAACTACAATAACAAATATCCGGTACCCTTCGAGTCGGGGATTAAACTTATATTAGGTACACTGTTTTAATATAATTTATATTTTATATTTTTCAATAACGCCGTTGGAATAAATTATTTTGCCTTGCAATTTATTTTATAGATAGGTTATAGGTATCATATACCGGCGTGTCCTTCGTGAACATACAAGTTATTAATAAATTATATTTTATAGAATTATAGAACGTAGTGGCAGGACAATAACGGCAAATTCAATAATCCCCATGAAAAAAGTCCAAACACCGCGGTGTCCCGTAGGGTATATGAAACATATTAGGTATATAATATAATATATAGTGAGGTTATACCTTCGTAATATATAATGCAACTGTATATATTATATTTCAAAGTAACCTAGTTAATGTTTTGCATGACGTATAATATATATTGTATATGTATGTATGCATGTATGTATGAATATATTAATATATATATGAACCATTTTTGTTCAAGGATTCATTGCACGCCTTATGTATGTATATGAAATAATAGGCTTAATCATGCGGCTTAGGAAAAGTATGGAAAACTGTACCTAAATAATAACCTAATATACAATATATTATTATACATGTATTAATAACTATTAATGTTAAAAATTCTACTTCACGAATCTTATTAATTGACGTTCGTCTAATTGTCATTACTCTTTTAAATAATGGGTACCTGCTTTAAGACTTATTTAACTTATAATGTGCATAAAAAAAAATTGTCAATTTTAATTATTACATACTAATTTAGTTAAGATTTATGGATTTCAATCATTATTGATTCATAATAATAAATTGTTAATTATGTCTAGGTATCGTAAAAAATCAACGATAATAATATTTATTATATGGCTCACAGAATTGAATATCTCATACTATTGATTTAATTCAAAAGTTGTTTATTTTGATAATTTTTATATATTATTAGTTGTGTATTTTTCATTCAATTTTTGTGTTTTATAAAAGCAATTTAAAGCAATATTTTAACATAAAAACACTTCCAGCATCATTCCGTAAATATTTATTTAGTTTATATTTTTAGCATTACTATTTAGTTGTTAAGTAGGTAGTTAAGATATTTTAATGGTCATAAAACTGCATACCTATATAGGTACTTATATAATTATCAATTAAAAACAAAAAACCTCAATTTACAATGTATTTCATATAGATTTCTAGTGTAACTTGTCATTGAGAATTTCTTTTTAATCTGCAGGGGAGCCATTTGAGGGAGTCAGTGAGAATACGAGTACAGTGTCGCTGTCAGTCTCTATTCCAGGGATTTTTTTTAAAATGGTACGTATTATATTTTACTATTATACCTAGTGTTATTAGTAATTTATTTTCTGCTAGTAATTTTATATTATATTTATTTATTTATTTATTTAGCGTATGACATTTTGCTACAGAGAATAGTTTCAACCATAATATGGTCATAATTATTAGAAATACCTAAGTTAATTAAATTGAAGTAATCACAAATAAAACGTATTAAAATGTAACAAAAAAATAATATACCTAACAAACGTGCATTAAAATATGAAACAGTATCTATAGGTATAATAATCCGAATGAGTGTCGAGGGATTTATAGCTCTATATTCTATTATCTATTATGAAATCCAGTCTATTGCAAAATTTTCATCGCTAATAAATCGTTCCACTTCCATGTTCCTTGTAATGAGACTTTTTGAATTAAGAAAGTTATGATGGTCTGTTATTGGAGACCACAATCACAGTGTGGGTTTTCAGTTAGTCCTCATTTGAAAAGTGTAGATCTGGTTTGGTCGTTCTGACTTGAACCATTCATGGAGATGCTTTCGTGATCGTATTGTTTTATTCAGTTGGGGAGGAGCTTGAATAGATTGATGTTTGTAAATTAGGTATTTATAATTTAATATCTATTATTTTTCTCATCTAATTTGGAAGTAATGTGATACCCATCAATATAAGTAATACCCTTAAACTATTTTTTTCAAAAAACATAGCATATGTACCTAATAATTGCCATAATTTCTATTAAAATGTATTTTCCCACAAAATATCCATGTGCATAATATAATATAATATAATATAGATATATCCAAAGCAGGATTAGGATATTTTTCCAGCTGGGTCAGGTATTTTTCTGATTAATAATTAGGTGGGCGTACCTTCCTAATATACCTACTTAATATTTAAAACTCCTGCTAATAAAATTATTATTCTAGTACAAAACAAAATATTTTTAGTTCATTCCAGTGATTTATAAGATTATAAAATACACTATAATGATAAATACATTATAATGACGTGACAGCGCATGTTTTGTATATCCTCCATAAACTGAAAAACTACTAAGCCAATTTAAATGTTGTTTTCATATTTGTTCCAAGGATTTAAAGAATTGTGTAGGTAAATACAACCAACCCAAATCCTGCCACTGGAAAGCTGAGCTGTAAAATAAAAATATATCCATGGGCCGTAGATCATGGTACCGAAGGGTGAATCCAGAGTTTTTGAAAAATCCCTAGGGTTAAAAAAGAATTAAATAAGGTCGGAAGTGGTACAGAGGCACACTTAAACTATTTTTATATTTGTGTATAAATTACCAACGGTATTAAAACTCTCTTACAGATAAATTCATATTATACATACTCACATACCTAAATGATTATATTGAATATGAAATACTTTCAGACATTATGTTGAGGGTCGTTAATCTTGAACGTTTAAAAAAGTTATACGCAACATTTTCAATTCCTCAACTATTAAAAGAATATAGCATCGAAGATAAAGAAATAGTGCCTGTTGATACTAATTATGTAATAATTAAGAATAAAGAACATTTTACACCATTATGGTATTACGATAATGTTGGATTTGACAGTCGAAATCCTGATGAATGGTTAAAAAAAGATAATAATGGAATCAATTTACCGGTGCCTGCGATTGTTTACTTGCCTACTAATTCAAATGAAGAGTCCTCTAAAAAATACAATTGGATGGATGCTAATGTAATTGATTATAATTCAACATTGAAAATGTATTCAGTTGTTATATTGAATAACAATTCAAACAAAGTATATACCGGAATACCTAGAATACAGATACACTTTAAAGGAGAAGATCCTAGAGAATTCGTAAAGAGAATCAAATATGCGATTGTAAGACGGGAGTATAGTGAAGATATTTATAGGTAAGATAATTCAATAATATTATCCTATATTCGTCTGTTTTACACTTTTATATACCTATCCATTTCAATGTGTAAGGTGCGAAAGTGTCATTCATGAAAAATTGTATTAGTGTAAAATATTACATAGGTGTAGGTACCTACTTGGTAAATAAGACTGAATATTATACCTATACAGACTTACAGTTTTACAAAAATAAAAGTGTTTATAGTTTAACAAAAAATTTTGCGATATTAATAATTCTATTAAAAGCAACAATGCTTATAATTATATTTTCATAAAAATACACATATTGTTTGTAAGTTTTAATAGTACAATGACTACAAAAAAATCTATACCTGCTATAATACCGACCTGACACCTGTCACTTTTTATGTTTGCTGCATTATGTGAGTGAAAATATGTGGAGTAACCCGCAGAAATATAAACCGGACGGGGGAACAAAGTTAAAGGTCAAAGTTTATTTTTTTTTACAAGACTTATAATCACTTAAGGATAAAAAAAATATTATTAACTAAAATCATAGGGGGCATGCCCCCTCCTGCATGATCCCATTCGTTTATTTCCAGACTAGGTATTCCAGTACCTAGTAGGAGGTATATATGATAAAAACTAAAAAGTTATAATAATATGCTTTTATTCCAGGTTGTCTATGTATCTTAATATAGTTGATAAAGATTCCGAATATATTTCATACGTATTACCAGATGAAACAATTGAAAAAATATTACGATTAATATTCAACTGTCAACGAATCAAGAAAATGAACAAAGATAAAAACATCGTAAGGATTATAAAAAGAATAAAATATTATTATAGGTTCAAAGTTACCGAACAGCTTTAAAATATGGCCATGGTTAACAGGTTTCAGTTAATCTAATATTTATTAAACAATTGAATATACCTACCATAATCATTAATCATATTATAAGTAGGTATATAAGTAAATCGGCACCTGAATAATTTCTTCGATTAACTTGACAAAATCCTAAATACACCACTGTAACGACTAGTCACCTGCAAATAGAGATACGGTTAAGAAGCGTTTATATATGAATAAATAGGTAGGTTTTTTTTTAAAAAAAAAAAACCATAATTATTAATAAAAGCATTTTATTTATATACTAAATTGATTCTTCTTGTTTTTTTTTTAGTGAAATATTCAATTTCATTATCATGCTATTTCATGCAGACCGTTTTAATAGGCACCTAGTAATTTTTCAATAATAAAATAACAATCAGTATTACCTGAATAGCCCATTTTTTTTTTTAATAGGTTTTTGATATTAACGTAGAGCTATAATATTGACGTATGTCACACTTGTATTTGATGATTCTTTAGCGAAATAAACATTAAACGGTATCACAATATCATACAACTTAATATGTTTTGGTAATTTGGTTTCTCTCCCAGAAGTATATTCTGGTAATTTTTTTCTGTTATTTAGGAATTTTGCTAAGGTTGGATGAAATATATAATAATAGGTACACCCATAAATACGTTCCTACACAATATACATTATTAAAATCCCCTAACTTGTTGAGGTTAGTGTGGATCAAAGCGAAATAAGAATTAACCCAAATTGTAGGTACCTAATAGCATTTATTATAAATTCATACTAACGCAAATCCCGTGTTTAATACGATAAACAAAAAAATAGTTATAACACAAAATCCCGTTTTCTATTTTTTTGGATGAGCTCATCTGGCATGATTATTGTATTGACCGGTGACATGTCAATAAAGCCAACACATTAAGGGCCCGTATTAGAATAGTTAATAGCTAATGTTATACCGCGGAATTCGACCGGTAAAATCAGTGGCCGGAGTTTAAATTATGATTATAAAATGGGCCCTAAGTCGGTTCTAATAAAAATGCATTATACCATACTCCCATAGAGGTATATGTTTTACGTACGTGAAGTTGGCACCCCGACATGGTCCGATCGGTTCCAAATCGGTGTCATTTTTTGCAACCAATTTTGCAACAATTTGCAACGTCGATCAAAAAATGTGCAACTCATATTTGATCGAAATTCCGTTTAGGGGAATAAATTTAATTAATAAAAATAATTAAAATTCATAAATTTGACATTCTGCAGATTAACATTTTTGTCAACTTTATACTAACCTTATTTTAATTTCATTTATTAATAGTTAGTTTAATTAACTATTACTTTACATTGTTTTATTAATTATTGTTAGATATCATTTATACCAAAAAACTTTAAGAAAAATAACCCTTAACTAATTTATGATATAAATATTATTAATTAATAAAATAAATACAAACATTAAAAAATGCATTGCTAATTTTTTGATCGACGTTGCAAATTGTTGAAAATTGGATGCAAAAAAGTGACACCGATATGGAACCGATCGGACCATGTCGGGCTGCCACGTGAATTTGGCACCCCAATGCTATGTTTGTCTGTAGCACCATAAAAAAAGTGTTGCAAATTTTTTTATGAGCGTTGCAAATTGTTGCAAATTGGTTATAAAAAAATGATATTGATTGATTTCTGATTGGAGGATATCGGGGTGCCAACTTCAAGTACGTATATGTTTTTGTTGTCCAATAGTCACATATATGCCGCAAACGACTATAGTGGCGTATAGTATATCAGAGCGGTAAAATTACCACGGATAGAACATTTAGAAAACAGACATCAGTAATATGATATGAAGTAATATGATATTGGGAAATACAGAAAATAAGAAAACTTTACTTAACAAAAAAAAAGGTCAAGGGGGGATCTTTCCCTCTTATCCCCCACGTAAATACGTCACTGAGTTTTTTGCTCACATAAAAATTTATAGAATATTTACATATTATTAAATATTATAGCACCTACATATTGTTATCATACATATTTAAATCTTCTCAATTATATATTTTATATAGATTATTCAACAAATTAATAACATTTATCAAAAATCATGCCAATCTTCAAGGCTTGAATTATTAAAATCTATGTATGAAGACTATCTCAAAACCCTGAAAGTACCAAATTTTAGTTTTGAACTATTCATAAGAAAGCCTAGTACGATATAGTAATAATAATATTCAAAAATGACTGAGTATTTATTGTTTTATAATATTTAACAGCACGATTAAGTACAATACCGAGTGCATATAAATCATTTATAAATTCAAAAGAACAATTCAATAGAAATAAATTATTAGAATTAGCTGAAGTTCTTACAGCTCTATGTGACTCCAACGAAGTAAACTTATTTGTAAAAGATACGCGTCTTTTATCCATTGATTTTCCAAACGCTGTAACACTAAAAGACTTTGAAACACTGCAGTTAAAAAATATTTTTGAAGTAATTTTTTTTTGTGATTATAGTAAAAATATGCATTAATTAATATCTCAACAAATGTATTGTGTTTAGACTTTTAATTTGCTTAAGATCTATTGGACAAAAGAAATTACTTTCAAATGCCATTCAGCTTTAAAAAATGTAAAAAACAGTTGGTTCGATATCTCAATAAGTAAAATTAAGATTTATGAATCATCGATCAACAAATTAAGAAAATTGATGACACTTCTTAAGTATATGATGGAAGTAAGAAATTGTGTATCTTCGTGGTTTACCTACATTATCTAAATTTATAATACCGTATAATTATACCTGTATAGGAACGTCTAAGAATGATAGTGATAAATTCAGCAAAAGGGTATGCTTCACTAATCGAGCGACCTTGCATTCCATTGAAAGGTATTAATGATGATTTTGTGTGGGATAGTGATTTGAATGAATCACCATTTGAAGATTGCACACCTCCATTATTCTCTGAAATACTCAATATGAACAAAAATGGAGCATATTATTCTACTGATCCAGATAAATTTGAAGTAAGTTGTATGTAATGTCAAGTCTGTGCATAAACGAGTTAAAAGGTTAAAGTTAAGCTAGTTGAATTAATTGTAACTTTTTTAAATTACATTTTCATTAACTTAGTATTTAAATTGATTGATTTTTATTGATATAAACTTAATAAATAAGGTTATCATGTACCTACTTTCAATCAAATCCAAGATGCATCACTGCATCAGATATATTAGGTACCAATATATTTATAGGTAGGTAGCTAATGTTATACCTACCTTAGGTTAAAAATAAAACTATAAAGTAGGTAACAAAAGAAATTTACTGACAGTAATAACTGTTATTATTTATTATTTTTCTGTACCAAAGTTATTAAATTACACTTAACTTAATTTTTTTTAATACATTTTAAGAAACAATTGATAATACATAATACCTATATGTATAATATATCATGTGAATAACATTTTCTGACAGTAAAATGTTCGTAAAACAAAAATAATATTGCATTTGACAAAAAAGTTTTGTTCTTATAATAAGTTGTAATTTGGAGAATGCATTGTTTTTAATGTACCTAAATTAAGGTACCTAAATTATAAAGAATAACGTGTTGAACAATAATATTGTTGAATAACAAATATAGTATAACAAATATCTTGTTTAATTCTCTTATAATGATTGTTTATAATTTGATATTGTTTGACGTTTCTTGTACCTATAATGAAGTTAAAATAATTAAGAATAATTTAATTCCAATTTTTAAGGTTAATAATTTATGATGTAATTTAATTACCAAAAAATAGTAATTTCCCCAACACGGCCTATATAGTATAATATTATAATACGTTCTATTATAAATACTAAAATACCTCATTACTTATACTTTTATAGGTAGCAATTTGTTAATAAAAGACTATAATCTTCTAATTATTTTAATGTTATATTATGATATTAAGTTACAGGTACTATTAATAATTTATTGTTATCTTCTAAAAATATGTAGGTAAAAATCTGTTTTAACGGCCTTGTCCGTATATATTAATAAAATTAGTTAATTTTGACGTATTTATATAAGTAATAGATGCAATGTAGAGCAGCGGTCGCCAATCTTTTGGATCTCGCGGACCACTAAATCCATAAATTTAAATTCTACGGACCACTTATGTCTTATGACTTATACTCATATCTTAAATATCAAGTTTTATCATATTATTACGCGTTTATTCTTAAGGGGATTCGATGCAGCGTATTTATTTCATGATTTAGACCTAAAAGCCTGACAAAAATACGCCTACTTAGAATTATCAGATTTCAATTCTGTAAAAAGATTCGAGTTCATTGACAATTTTCCTAGGTTATTGTGGGAATCAATTTTCGATATTTTTTTTAGAATTCACGTTAAATCATATATCGATTTCTCAATTTTTTGAAAATTGTTTGTGTCTTTCTTTAAAAAGTTAAACAGTTATTCAAAAATTGACTCCCACAATAACCTAGAAAAAAGAACGATGAATTCAAATATGTTTACAGAACTAAAATCCGATCATTCTAAGTTATCGTATTTTTGTCACTCTTTTAGGTCTCAATTGATTGAAATTAGTTTCTCGTTAGAACAAATATTTTATTATGTGACATGTGCATGCGGGTGCGAACCACTGATTCCGAACGTATCTACGCACACTAATGACTTCGCACACAAACACACTGCGAAACGACTATAATACATCGAATTGCCTATACACGACCCCTTATTAAATCACCGGATCGAATCCCCTTAATTGTTGTAAACTGACATACAGCGACATTATATACTACTTTTGTATATTACGATTATAAACTCACAACACTACAAATAATCTTAAAATTTTTCTATGAAAGTGTGAACTACCAATTTTTTTTACAGTGGACAACCAGTTGGCGACAGCTGATGTAGAGTATCTGATATATTATTATATTTTAGGTAATAATACAATGTGTTTATAAATTCTTTAGACTGTTATTGTACGTTTATTTAAACGTGTGATAATTGAAAGCCACGAGATACCAGCTATTCATCCATATTTACTCACTAACATGAAGTTTACGAAAATACCATATTTATCGTCAATAGGACTAATTGAACCAAAAATTACTGAGCTACAATCTAATATTGAAAACAATATTCGCTTAGCTATTATTCCATTAAAAGCATACTGTAAAGAATTTAATATCTATTTAAGTTTATTTAATACGGATGTAGAGTTATATGTAAAGTTAGTATAAAGAAAATCGTTAGGGTACCTAATATAAAATATATTAATAACACAATTTAATTTAATTGTATTTAAAAGGACATTTTTTGATGGTAATCCATCACTAAGTAGAATAAAAGAAGAAATAACAATGCAAATAAAAATTAAGTTAAAACTAGAGAATACATTTCCAGAGACGATGACTATTGGCCTATTTTTCATAAGCATTAAATCATTGAAACATTCATTAGTAAGAAAACGGATTGATTTAGCAGACTCAATTATGAAAACACATGCGAGCTTAACAACTGAGAAAATGGAAACATGCTGCGCAGAATACAAAAGAATTTATCTGATTCTTTCTGAAATTCCAACATCAATAGAGCAAGTATTTGAAATAAGAGAATGGATAGAAACCTTGCCAATTTTAATCAGCAATCAGTCTGAAATCGTAAGACGAATATTTAAGGTAGGTACCTAACATAATATTATATTTATAATACAACAAGTATATATATATATATATATAATAACACTATTTTACCAATGCCACAATTGTTGTAAATTGAATATTTATAGGATATGGAAATGTTGGATACATTTTTGTGGATAGTAGATGATGAACAGTTAAAATTAAAATATGACTCCCAAATTTGGCCTTATAAGATTGAGCTAAAAAAAAATGAGTCATTGCAAATTATGACAACCAATATTGAAAAATTTGAAAAAATTCAATTCGAAGATGAATTATTATTACAAGATAATGTTGAATACTTAAGTAGTATTATTTTAAAGTTAACTATTGAAAATAATTTGTCAAAAGTAAATGAGATTGCGGTAGAAGTAAACAAAAATTGGAAACTGATTAAAGACCTTCAATTAACTAGTCAAACTTTAAACCTAAGACAACAACTTTTTGGTCATACGGTCAGTTCAATTATATACAATGCATTTTGTTTTATTATTATTTATTTAATGAGATCAATAGCGTACTAACAAATAATAACCTATTTGGGGAGGGAGGGATTTCAGTATTTGTATGATTTTAAAAGCAGGCCGGACACCGGTTGTGGTCCATTATTATATTTTATTGGTGAAAAAAACATGCTTATTTTTATAATATATTCGTGTTGAAGTACCTCCGATGGGAGGCCTCTTCCTTCAGTTTCTTCTATCTGTTTTTGTTCTATTATCACTTAAGCTTATTGTTCTAATTGTAACAGATAGCGTAATAAAGAATTTTGTTAAAAAAAAAAAAATTTTATAATATTATATAGTGACTATTGTTACCTACTAGGGAAATTATTATCACAATGATAAATTTGTACGTAATTAATAATTAATTAGCTATTAGGTTCGAATACAATTTAAACTTAGTTGAAAGTGCCATATAGACGCTTGGGAGTTGTGGGTGTGCATGTAAATTGGTGTGTGTGCAGTGGTGGATTTTAAAATTTTAAAATTATTATTTTTTTTTTTTTATTAAAAACTGTTAAACAGTTTTCATCTCTATCACTCGACGTCGACATTATAGCCAAGCCATTCAATCTAGCCTAAAATTTAAATTTAAATATAATAGGTAATAGCTTTGATTAAATTGGTTTAATTTTGTTTCTATTTTCTGCAATTTGTTTGGCCCTTACGGTATCTAATCCTTGATCAATAAACGTTAGTGGATTTTTAAGACGTTGAAAAAATGACTTCATCAAAAAAAATTTTTTTTTCTTTAATTCGACTATTCGAGAGATGAGTGTTTGGTAAATGTTTCAACCGAATGTTACCAGTTTTTAAATTTTACGAACACATGACTACCTAACACTTGTGAATTGAGCACACTGGTCACCAATATGATATACTTCGAAAACGTTAGGTACATACAATTTGAAAAATGTGCGATCTTGTAATACTGAATATATGACAACCAGAATATTGACATTTGAGATTTTTACCTTTTTGTCTTTTCCAGAAGTACCTATTTGATGTTACTGAAAATGTTATTCGTATGGCAACAATGACACTGTAACATAAAATAGAATAAGATAAAATAAAATAAAAAGTATACTTGATATTAATAACTTCATTAATCCCATTAATGCCCGAATCAAACCTTTTATTCGGGCATTCGTCTGTAATTTTGACTGGAAATTTATAGTTTAGATGACATTTTATTTAAAAACAAATTACTTATTAGTTATAGTACTTACTTTTGATTATTTATACTCGTCATTCGACTATCGTAGTATACCAGCATCAACTTTTGGCGGTCAAACAAATAACAGGAATACTCATGGAATAGTGTTGTAATCGTCAGAAGAAACCATTTTTATAAAAAGTAATGATAGAAAAATAAATTTACCATCACAAATCGCAATAATATAACCGATTACCGGAAATAACCAATACTGTGAATGATTTTATCAAACTCAATGTATTATTTCAGTATACCTGTTTGAAATAGGTGTATATAAATAACCGTGTAAAATATTATAAAATAAAAATCGTGTCGTCCCCCTACAATCCGCCACTGTGGCGTGTGTGTTGTGTGTAATAGTTTTATTCCAACATTTTTTTAAATTAATACAAATTCTAAAAACAACAACCTCTCAGGCCTCAGATATTAATAAAAAATTGTTTTTATAAAATAACTGCTAGATAGGTACTTTATATATTTTGTAAAATGTAAATTACGTTGTCAAAAAGGGTTTCATTGTGAAGACAAGAGTAAAAATATATGTAAGATAGGAATGGTAATTTGATATAAATGTGCTTGTGAACGGTTTCGTTTAAGTTAGGTAGGTACCTATTTGAGCTGGTCAAAACTTTTGCCCCACTCTATTGAAAACTAAAATGATGCTACTAATTTACACTAAAATTGTATAATTAGGTAACACCCTTTGAAAATGTTGATCATTTGATGGACGAATTTGAACCATATAAAACATTATGGCTGAGTGCTTCAGAGTTTTTTAAATTACAAAATGCTTGGTTGCAAAATCCATTAGCAAATTTAGAAAAATCTACGCTAATGCCTTCGTTAAATAGTTTATTAAACATTGCCACAAAATCTGTTGAACAATTTGCTGAAATACCTGGTAACAATAATAAATGGACTTTGATTATTTTTTAATCTAAACATTTTTACAAATATTTATTTTTTAATGAGTGCAGGTACTTTGAGCGTAGCTAATGAAATAAAAACACAAATTGAAGAGTATAAACCAATGATACGTTTATTGGAACATATACTAACTCAAGGGATGAAGCAAAGGCATTGGGATATATTTTATGATAAAACTGGTGAATAATTATTAATTATTGTAGTAGTTTGGTACAATACCTATTATAAAAGTAGTCTGGCTACCTAAACCTAACTATCTACATATAGTATCCACATATTATAATTTATAATATATGTTTAAATGCTTAGTAAAATTAATTCAAATAATACAATTAATGTGTTTAGGAATAAAAATTATATTAGCACCATCGCTGAATTTTAAAAAATGTTTGGTATTGGGTGTTCAAAACTATATAGAAGAGATAAAAGAAATATCAGACAATGCTTCAAAAGAATATACAATTGAAATAGCTTTGAATAAAATGATGGACGGATGGAATGGTGTAAAGTTACAATTGTTGCCTTATAATGATAAAGACATGTATATCTCAACAATATCAGATAGAGAATTACAAATGCTCGATGATCATATTTTGATAATTCAACAGCTATCATTATGCTCGTTTAAAGGAGTATTTGAAGAACTTTTAACTCAATGGGAACATGATTTAAAACTTTCAAAAGATTTTATTATAGAATGGAGTGAATTTCAAAAGTATAATACTTGATTTAAAGAGAAATTTCTTAATATCTATATTATGATGTATATTGTATATAGATATAGACAGGGCTTAAAGTGGGAAAAAATTCCAAAGGGAACTAATGTCTCCATATATTCATAAGCGTTCCATATATAACTTTATTTATAAATGTCTAATGTATAAAATTCTATTTTGTTAAAAAGGACGCTTTTTAATCACCGTCAGCTGTAGGGGGACTGAGTCCCCCTGTGTCCCCCCCACTTTAACCTCTGCTAATAGGTATAGACTAATTTAGTTAAACTAAAAGTAAATTGTTAGGTATGAATAAAAAATAAAAATCTTAATTGATTTTTATCAATCTTGTTATAATTGTATTTATGACAATATGTTTAAAACTACCTACTCAAGTTAATTTTATCAACATTGAATATTTATGTTTGTAGGTATTTTTTCTACTTAAATTATATACCTTCCTACCTATTGATAATGTTAAAAATTTGATTTAAAAATCATGTGCATTGTTATGTCTGCAGCTGCCTTTTTAAAAATAATATTATAATATCTATGATAAAACAAATAGTAAATATCTTACTTCTTATATAATAAAACGCTAATAACGCGTATAAGATCCGCGGGGAGCGCTCACGGCACTCCGCGTTTCTTCCATGACGACCAATCACAATACTTCCCGCGCGTTCGCTATAAATTCCGCTCGCTTATCTCCCATTTCCTTATCGACGAATATTTTCGAACATTATTATTATTATTATTAAAAAAAAACCCGTGTTTTTCAATTTTTTGACGTGATAATAACGTCTTATAAACCGATTACCCCGCGACCGTCGGGCGGAGTGGGGGGACCCATTAAACGAGTAATTATTTTTGACCAAGTATAACTTAGCCGGTATTCGACTTAGAGACCCCGTACCAATGGGCATCTCAATTTTTTAGGCCCCAGATGAATTTTCAACATTAGGGAACCAAAGCCCCCACCCCCCCCACATTTTGAGTTGAGTATAACTCGGCCGGAATTCAAGTTAAAGACCTCGGACCAAGGGGGAACCCATTCTTTTTATGAATACTACCGTTTTCCGCTTTAGGGAACGGGGGCACCTCCTCCCCCCCTTTTTGGATTTTGCTTTTTTGATGGATTTTGGTCCGGGAGAGTACTAACACCCACCTCGCCAAGGGGAAACTCGGGGTTTTGAGTTTTTGATAGGATTTATTGGGATTTTCTTAAATATTGTTTTTATTGATAAGGAAAGTGATAAGAATTTTATTTTATCGCCACGAGCACGGCGACGCGGCTTAACAGTCATACATTTGCCTCGAAATTTCATCTGAGTAGGTGGCTAGGTTGGTTAGGCGTTCGGATAGGTGACTCGAGGGTCGTGGGTTCGATACCGCCGTCCGGGATATTCGGTTATTTGCGGCGGCCGTGATAAATAGAATTTTTTTTTTCGCGTTTTTTTTTTCACGTCGTTAACAATTACATTTTAACATCTTTATTTTTCAAATACCTACATAATATTTTCATTGATTATAAATACAATTGTATTATAATATAATAGCCAGTTTATAAATTGAAAATGAAATATCTAATAAACGCATTTGACATGCGACAGCGGCGATGATTGAACCAAATGCCAACTCTTTATAAGTATTATATTATATAAGTTAATATTTATAAACCAATTTTACTGAGTCAGAAATTGAAGATCATAGCATTTAGTATTTACAACAGTAAATGAAGACCATAATAACTAATGATAAAGCGGGTTATCGACATATAAGTTTTAAGCAGTCGAATTCGTCGTTAAGCTAAAAAAAAAAAAATCCAATCATAGCAATCTTTGCAGAGTACGTTTTATGAAATCAGAAATTATTGGATCAAATTTGAAAAAATGTTTGGACGTTCCTCTATGCGAACCCGACAACCCGCGGTAAATGATATCAATAAATGTCAAGTTTTTCAAGAAAATTAAATATTAATTCTATCCTCAGGAAGAATAGGAAGAATAGGAAGATATAGCTTATTATAAATCTTATATAATAAAACGCTAATAACGCGTATAAGATCCGCGGGGAGCGCTCACGGCACTCCGCGTTTCTTCCATGACGACCAATCACAATACTTCCCGCGCGTTCGCTATAAATTCCGCTCGCTTATCTCCCATTTCCTTATCGACGAATATTTTCGAACATTATTATTATTATTATTAAAAAAAAACCCGTGTTTTTCAATTTTTTGACGTGATAATAACGTCTTATAAACCGATTACCCCGCGACCGTCGGGCGGAGTGGGGGGACCCATTAAACGAGTAATTATTTTTGACCAAGTATAACTTAGCCGGTATTCGACTTAGAGACCCCGTACCAATGGGCATCTCAATTTTTTAGGCCCCAGATGAATTTTCAACATTAGGGAACCAAAGCCCCCACCCCCCCCACATTTTGAGATGAGTATAACTCGGCCGGAATTCAAGTTAAAGACCTCGGACCAAGGGGGAACCCATTCTTTTTATGAATACTACCGTTTTCCGCTTTAGGGAACGGGGGCACCTCCTCCCCCCCTTTTTGGATTTTGCTTTTTTGATGGATTTTGGTCCGGGAGAGTACTAACACCCACCTCGCCAAGGGGAAACTCGGGGTTTTGAGTTTTTGATAGGATTTATTGGGATTTTCTTAAATATTGTTTTTATTGATAAGGAAAGTGATAAGAATTTTATTTTATCGCCACGAGCACGGCGACGCGGCTTAACAGTCATACATTTGCCTCGAAATTTCATCTGAGTAGGTGGCTAGGTTGGTTAGGCGTTCGGATAGGTGACTCGAGGGTCGTGGGTTCGATACCGCCGTCCGGGATATTCGGTTATTTGCGGCGGCCGTGATAAATAGAATTTTTTTTTTCGCGTTTTTTTTTTTCGTCACATTTATCATTTTTAACGAAAGTGTTAATTTTTTTTTAAAATTTGCATTATATTATTATATATATTATTATTATTCGTTTGACGATATTTATTGGGCAAAAAAATTATTATAATTAACATTTACCGACGCACCTACATGTTTTTTTTAAATTTGCATTATTATATTATATATATTATTATTATTCGTTTGACGATATTTATTGGGTAAAAAAATAATTATAATTAACATTTAATTAATACTTGATTTTACCGACGCACCTACATGTTTCTTTTATTAACACATTATAATAACGTATAACTAACCTACGTGTAGTACCTACTTGATATATTACAGTTTTTACGTGATTCCGATTTGGTTAAATACTGCTACAGATTATAAATACTATATTAAAAAATAGTACGACTATATTTGCCGTTTTTTTCGAAAATTCGAGTCCCGGGGTGGAGTAGTGTGTCAGAAACGAGAGTAGGTACCGTGTAGGTATCGCTATATACAGGCATACATACATGCGCCTCGAGGTTCGATTTTTTTCGCAAATCTCGCGTCTTGAACGTCCGAAGGTGGCGGACATGGTGGTCCGCTCAAACGCCCTTAAGAGTCATAGATTTGGCTCCTAATTTCATCTCGGTAGGTGGCTAGGTAGGTTAGGCGTTAAAACGGGTGATTCGACGGTCGTGGTTTCGAACGCCGGCGGGGCCGTGTTAAATCGAATTTCTTTTTTTTGCGTTTTTTTTTTCGTCACATTTATCATTTTTAACGAAAGTGTTAATTTTTTTTTTAATTTGCATTATTATATTATATATATTATTATTATTCGTTTGACGATATTTATTGGGCAAAAAAATTATTATAATTAACATTTACCGACGCACCTACATGTTTCTTTTAATAATACATTATAATATAACTAACCTACGTGTAGTACCTACTTGATATATTACAGTTTTTACGTGATTCCGATTTGGTTAAATACTGCTACAGATTATAAATACTATATTAAAAAATAGTACGACTGTAATATGACTGCTTCATTTGCCGTTTTTTTCGAAAATTCGAGTCCCGGGGTGGAGTAGTGTGTCGGAAACGAGAGTATGTGTAGTGTATTCATTTATAGATACCTACGTTTAATAGGATAGTAGTACATTTCAATAAAATTTGTTATTCACCAATATAATTATCTATTTGTTAATTTGACTTAATTCTCATAATTAAATAAATATACATGGAAGGTATATTTTAGAAAATATCCAATCAGAAAATTAGATTTTGTCGACTTATTTGTTATAACCGCGAAAACATAACAATGATTACATTGATTACAGTGAAGCCTAACATAAAACACCTGATAACTGTTCTCTATAATTATCAACAAATACAATTTTATTACCTCCTGTATACTTTTTCATATTTGAACGGCCGTTTCGAGCACTTTTCGCTGTAGGCGGATTGTCCGTTCGGGAATCGGATTTCACCCGAGATGACTGATAGCTAGACACTCAAACTGAGAATCCGAATTTCCGATTTCAACACACATACGAGAACCGGACACACACGCCCGGTGCATGGTCTGCGATCCGACGTAGTCGGATTGCCTACCTGACTAGCTACTTGCATACGAGCGACGTACACCCCCAGTGCATCTGACACTCGGGAATCGACTTTCACCCGAGATGACTGATAGCTAGATACTCAAACTCAGAATCCGAATTTCCGATTTCAACACACATACGAGAACCGGACATACAAGCCCGGTGCATGGTCTGCGATCCGACGTAGTCGGATTGCCTACCTGACTAGCTACTTGCATACGAGCGACTTACACCCCCAGTGTCCCCCACTGCATCCGACACTCGGGAATCGACTTTTACCCGAGATGACTGATAGGTAGACACTCAAACCCAGAATCCGAATTTCCGATTTCAACACACACACTCAAGAACCGGCATACACGAATGGGGCATGGTCTGCGATCCGACGTAGTCAGATTGCCTACCTGGCTGGCTGTGTCTTACGATCGACTTGAATCGCGTGACTTACGACTAGACACTCTTCCGAGTTCAAAAATTACCGCTTAAAAAGTGCTGCCAACACGACAAAACTTAATACCCGACGACCCCCCTTCCCCCCGCAGGCTGGATCAAAAAACCCAGCATAGCCGACAAAGATGCACCACCGCCCACACAGTCTTTCCGCCGTAGGCGGGATGACAAACACCGGAATCTAGTATATCATAATATACTAATATCATAATTATAAATTGTTTAAAATAAGTTATACTTTGTCTTTATTGTAACAAATAAACTTAATTTTAATTAAAAACAAGTAATTTTTAGGAAATGGATGTATTTAAAACCAATATTTGACAATCCTAATGTTAAAGAACAATTACCTGTGGAAAATAAAAAGCTCAACTTAGTTGAACGAATATTGGGTCGAATAATGAAACTCACTAAGAATAAACCTTTGGTAAGAGTTTACTGATAAATATATATATATATATATATGTAGTTATCTATTAATTTATGATCCTATTATATGATTATGCAGTATGTACTAGTCATACTTATTCAATAACAATACATACAGCCACCAATGCTGATAATTACTTAACTCACTAATATGTAATTAAAATGTTTTTTTTTTAACAAAACACCTAAAGAAATTAACAAAGAGGTACGAGAGCATTAGTTTGTTATGGAAATTATCATTTATCATAATAATATATACCTACGACTAACCTAATTGTAGGTTGTAGATATACCTATACTAAAGACTAAAGTCGTAAAGTGTCCTGTTAAAGAAAGCAATTTTTAATCATATTTTATTATTTAATTTGTATAAGTAGGTAGGTATATTAAATTCATGCGACATACGCAAAATCGGTATACCTACCTACATAATAATATATTTATATATAATATTAATAAATAATAAGTAATACAAAATAGAATGGTGGCGCGGTCGGTAATTAATACAACATATTTTTGTGTAATATATTAATTTAGGTTATGAAGACTTGTCCAGATAAAAGATTATTGGGCCAATTAATCAATGTCAACGTTCAACTAAATAAAGTTGAAAACGCACTTAAATTATCGTCTGTGTTTAAGTACCTAATACACACGCCATGAACACGGTCTGGCGGTTCATTATTTGCAATCATATCTTTGAAGTAAATCAATAATATATGTGATAAATACCTAATAAACATTATTTTATTCTAACTCAAAATATTCCATAACAATCTTTATGATATATATCTGGATTTTTCACGTCTTCGTATATATAAAATCAAAATATTATATTATAATGCACTAATGGATACAAAATATTTATGACCATAATTAATGCATTTTAAATTTACCATAACAAATATATTTGTTGACTTAGATATCTGCAGTTATAATCAACCATATTATTCAGAGGCGCCGAAGTGGACAGTCACCACCAGTCACTATTATTTTTAAATTTAACAATTGCATCAAAGCACCCACAAAATGCAATGTATCTTCTTTTATTTTAATAAAGTACTTCGAATTTAACGTCTACTATCTAGCTTATTTAGTTTTGAAATTCCCATGGAAATCCTACCATCTCAAAATTCAAAAACATTTAAAATATAAATAATATAATATATTATAATATTATATAATATTTAAAAAATATACATATAACATATAGGTAGTTTGAGTAAAAATGAATTCAACTAAATTGTGTTCAGTTCATTTAGGATTGAATTTTATGATAAAAGTTAGAAAACAACGCGCTTTTGGGTATACACCTTTTTTCAGTTCTATTATTAAATAATATTGATGCGCAAATGATGTACAACCTTTTAAACGATCGATGAGCAAACGATGTATAAACCAAAAATCACACGATGCGCAGTTGCACACTGTCTTACAAAAAAGGTCAAAAATAACAATAGTGATGCGCAAACGACAACCGGCTAGCCTTTAGCAACCACCAGGGACCGCATCATAAAATATATTGTCATCAACGAATTTAAATAAATAAAACATATTATGATGCTGAATATTATCTTATGATATATAATTAGATCTCGGATTAAAAATGTGTAACTGTTGTAAACGGTGCAGAAATGAGCGACGAAAAGTTTCGAAAACGAATATTACAATATTATAGTTCGTATAATCATAATAATAATTGTTATTGTTATTTACGACAAAATATAATCTAATATACATATTATATATTTCAACGATGATCTCCGTATTCCGTTTGAATATTTTTTTAAAAATGTCACGACGAACCGCAACGTATGAATGATAGCGTGTTATTCTTTCGAAACTATACAATAATGTTTTTGGTTACCAATGTAAAGGTGAAAATAACAATACTCACAGCGTCGGAATCCTTCAAAACGGTCGCCGCTATAATGGCGAACAAAACGGTCGTCGGTAACATGTTATACATTCTTCTCCGGGAGACCATACTTCAGCTGTGTTCCTTTTCTATTTGCACTGCACCTGTGTGTAAACTATTATTGTGGTTTATTGGAACTTTATATAAGTAGGTAAGTACCTAATAATCGTGAGTCGTCGTGACCTTCAGACAACGACGACGGTTCGTACAGAATGAATCCCGGACGAAAAGTCCGGGTTGAAAAAGTTGGACTAAAAGTCCGGATTCATTTTTTGATTGCCGGACAAAAAGTCAGAGTACATTTTTACTGTCGGACAAAATTGTCTATTATGGTGGTATGGATATGGCTATATCTATCTAATGTTTATCGTGGCAGTATGTCTACAGTTTATCTACCATATGATTATACCTACATAACTGTGCCTATGTATTTTTAATATTTTTCAACTGCAATTGCAACAATATATCAGGAGCCTTGTATTAAATTTTTACACTTTTTGGCCCACAAGATAAAACTTTATTGATATTTATAGAAAAAGAAACTAAAAAAAATTGAAAGCTGTAAATGTCCGTAAACAGCTCAAAAGAGTCAAAATATTTTCAAAATTGTATGGTGTATAGGAAATGCTAATATAAACATTCAGTGAAATTTTCATGTATATACATTCATTTGTTTTAGAGTTACAACAAAAACCAAAATCGATTTTTTGGAAAACCGATTTTGCTTAAAAATTCCCGTTTTCCCTTAATTTTTATGTTATTTTTCCCGGCGCTTGTGAAAACTACTGAGACATTTTTACTTTTGACCCCCCCAAAGTACCAACTAGATTCACTTTCCTATCAGAAAAGCTACTGTTGAAGAAAATCCAAGCACTTTTACTGTCCTAAAACGTGATGACAAACACAAAAAAAAATTTAAAAAAAACACATCATAAAATATCTAAAATATCGCAAAACGTAATTTATAGAATATCATTAAACGAAAAATAACTCAAAACGAAATTATTTGAAAATTTAAAATCCATTTATTTAAAAGTAAGATATATTGGTTTCGTAGAAATATATTTTATTTCATGCTATTTATTTTTGTCTTGGAAAAAAATCTAAGAATTGATTATATTATATTGCGTATCCGGGAATTTCATTACCTACCCACATTTGTTGGAGTTATTGATAAATTATAAACTGAATTGCCACTAGCAAATACCTACCTAGTATAACAATAATTATTATAATTATTAATAATAATTAATGATGCCCCGATATGTGCGTTGTAGAAGTATAGAGTATAGACTTATTTTGGATTCACTCTGTACTTTGTCTATTCCGTTGTCTGTACTACTGCGATCCTCTTGTGAGTGTTAAAGTATATACTGTTGTTAAAACATCCGTTTTATTTATATTAGCAATATATTAAAATAAATAACTCAATTATGGGTAGAAACATTTTTTAACCCACTACCGAAAATTCAAAGGTGATTAACTTGTTAAAAAGTTAATTTTTCTTAACTTTTTAACTTAACTAGTTAATTATTTTTGTCTTTGGCTTATTAACTTATTCAGTTAAAATGTCCAACTCAATTATATAAAAAGTCTAGGTGTTAGGTATATAGAATACCATTTATACCAATATTAAATATTAATAAAATAATAAATTATAATTTTCTGGTAATTATGTTGAAAAAAATTAACTAGTAAATTACTTACTGGATTGTTGGCAAATGCTGGGTAAAATAACGTTTTTATTCTAAATAACAATAAACGCTAAACTTGGATAACGTTTTAATTCTGAATAACGATAAACGCAAAACTTGTGTAACGTTTTAATTGTAAATAACGTAAAACGAAATTTTTTTCAAATGCAAGCCTTGTAGGCAGTTACCTATTATAGGACAATTTTTTTTAATACCATAGATAAGTATATAATATGTCTTATACCTAGACTGACATACCGTCTCCGCTCAGAATCATTTTCCTTATACAATGATATTATATCATTGTATTCAAATTTAATACCATCCATTATATTATAGTGACCCACTTGTAACCAACTGTACAGCAGAGTGACATCCACTTGCCCACCTTTTAGATTCTGAGTGAAACGATGAATGTATTGGTTTTACAATGATGAGTGTTTTTTTTTTATTTTTGTGTCTATCATAACCTTTTATTATATACAGTAAAAATTCTTAGATTTTCTTCAACATATCTTTTCTGATTGGAAAGTGAATCTAGTTGGTACTTTGGCTGGTCAAAAGTAAAAATGTTCAAGTAGTTTTCAGAAGCGCGATGAAAAACAAAAGAAAAATTAAGGAAAAACGGGAATTTGTACGCAAAATCTGTTTTTGAAAAAACCTATTTTGGTTTTTGGCGCAACTCAAAAACAAATGACTGTAGTGAAATTTTGACTGAATGTTTATATAAGCATTTTCTATACACCATACCATTTTCCAAATAATTTGACTCTTTTTGGGCTGTTGACAGACATTGTCAGTTATAAATATTTTTAATTTTTTTTTCTATAAATATCCATAAAATTTTATTTGTTGGGTAAAAAACGTGGAAATTTAATACAAAGCTCCTGATATATTGTTACAATAGCAGTTGAAAAATATTAAAAATACATAGGCACAGATTTTTTTATAAATATTTATAGTTCAAATTTTGACAACATTTATCGCATTTAAAATTTAATAATCATTTTGTAGTTAAAAATTTATAAAATGTTCAACTTTTATAGCTAAGGATTGAAAATTTAAAACAAGATTCCACATAAATAGGTTTTTATAAATTACTTTATTCACCTTAATATCATCATTATCAAATATAGTTCGAAATATCATAGGCTGACTGACCGTTTTCGCTCAGAATCGTTTTTCTTATACAATGATATTATATCATTGACTTCAAATTTAACACCATCCATTACACATTACAGTGACCCACTTGTAACCTACTTTACAGCAGAGATACTTTTTTATAGTTATTTAAATTCAAAATTTGAACGAAATTAGATATTTAAAAGAAGAAGAACGATTATTTAGTTTTGTATTATATTTATTAAATATTATTTGTGGGTACTTGGAACTTCTAAAGTATATTATTATACACAATTAATATGCTAATAGACAAATAATAATTCAACTTAACCGGCTATACCGTATTAATAATTACAATATAAACATAATATAAAATATTTTAGGCCGACAAACCATCTCTGCTCGAAATCGTTTTTCGTATACAATAATATTATATCATTGAATTCAAATTTAACACCATCCATTACAGTCATCCATTTGCAACCTACTGTACAGCAGAGTCACACACAGTTACCTGCTTTTTTAAATTTTAATCGTTACGAATTTTTAAATTATCACGGACCTGCGTTTAATTTTTATGAAATACCTTGAATACAATATTTTCATTGTTGTTTGTGGCAATGTGGTGGATTGGGCCAAAGACAAAAAATATTTATTTTAAAAATGACCAAAAAAGAATCTAACTTTTAGATAGTAAAATATTACATAATATTAATAATATTATACAATATACTATACTACTATATCCAATAGGATAATGTTCATATTATGTACTATTATATATTTTATTTTTTTGTGTCTGAACGTCTGAAGACATTTTTTCAAGTAGAAAGATTCGATTTTAAACTTCGAAGGTGGTTTCAATTGGTCACCAATTGGATCTAGTTGGTACTTTTAAAAATGTCCGTACTTACTTTTACAAACAG